CGGAACGACCAATCGAATTGTAATAACATTTAATATTATAAAATCCATATTTGTTTAATATACATCACTATGAAAATTATGTTTAAATAAACAATACATTATTTACTTAAATCTTTTAATTGTATATATCACTATATAAGGCCAAAAAATTATATTTTTTCATAATTCGTTCTTTTCATTAATAGTAAAGTGCCTACCAAACATTTATACATTTACAATGAAACGTATAAGTATAATTTCTATAAGTTTTACTATACTCTTCGTCCATACAGCATACGGTAAATATACATATTATTTAAAACTAAATAAATAAGAAAAAGTAATTCGTATGTAATCGTTATAATGGAAAACGTGCGTATAGAATATAATAGATGACATCTTATTTGCTTACCTTTAAAAAAAAAATAATAATAATAATAATAATGAGCTGATCTCGGGACGGGTGCGGCTACTTGTAGGTGGGTAGTCGGGAAGTAGAAATATATAGAGTTATTTAATTTATATTTGTTACTTACGATAGACCATTTAAAACGAAACATGATTTGGAGCGAAATTCGAAGCCGTAATATTTAGAATTTTCATCTTAATTTGACTTTAAAACTTTTATAAAAAAAGGAAATATTTTACATTTAACTAAATTTGTTTTTTTGACCACTAAATACCACTTATAACAAACCTCCTATTAAAATGTTCAATTTATTTGAAGAATACTTACCAAATAAAAAAAATTACAGAAAAAAACTCACAAACAAAACATGTCTATAAATATGTCGAAAATTGCACAAAAATTCAGAAAGTTTTACGACGACTAGACAAATTAGATATAAGTTTTTTGTCCACATATTTGGTTTTACGAATATTTTTATCTGAATTACAATTCAAATACTAACAGGATTATTTTCATAATTTTCCCATATGTATATTCCGATTGTGCTAAATTATTAAAAAAACTTCATAGCAAATGAAACTACGATTATCTAGGCCACAAATAAGGTAAACAATTTACCAAAAAAGGTCTCATGTCATTTATCTATTAAAGCAGTATTAATGGTAGAAAACATAAGTCGTTTAAATTTAAAATAATGAAGTGGCTGTGCCGTAATTTGAAAAACACGGTATATTTTGAATTTTGGGTTTTTCCAGAAAAAAAAGATAAAATACTTTGAATATCGAAAAACGTCGATCTTCATTAATGATTTATTTTATAGAAACCCTATCGATCTTTTGTCATTTTCCAATTAAAGTAATATTTCTGGATAAAACACCACGAACCAAAATTAAAAACAATAATAACTGTTTATATATATTATATAAATATTTTCCGTTATACCTATAATTTTCTTTCGGGTTTTTCCCAATTATTTCGAAAATTCCTTTAAAACAAAGTCCTCCCAATGTACCAACGAGAAAAAAATATTTTTCAAAAAAGGTTCTGCAATCTAAACTTCAAAGCAGTTTAAAAGTAGAAAAATTACACACAAAAAAAAAAAAAAAATACTAAATCACACATCATAATAAAACCAATAGATACCTCACTAAAAGCTCCGAATCTAAAAAATACAGATATAATTCTCATGATATACAATGATATAAAATGTTATGAAAAACCTATATATACATAAATATTAAAAAATACTGCATTCAACTAAACTTTTATTTTTTGACCACTAAGTACAACTTATATTGAATTTCCTGTTGAATTGTTAAACATTTCTGTTTAATCTAACGATTTTATCCATTTAATACCTACCCGATAAATATCAAATGCAAAAAATCGTAAAACTAAAATGTTTATAAATAGTTTAAATGTTTGAAAATTTTACCAAAAACTGTCCAAATTTCAATTCTATTTTTAAATAAATAACACCAACAAACAAAATAGAAAATAACAAAAGTATTATTTTCGTAAGTTTTCCTTTATTTTTTTCGTAATTATTAATTTCCTAGAAAATCACAAAATGGGTTTCTTTAGACACCATAACGGGGAAAATTTTCTTGAAAATCGAAACATGATTTCTAATAAAAAAAAAACAGGAATACATTCCTGGCTTCGCTCAGAATCTTTTACGCAAATTACCAGAAATAAAGGTTGCATTATGATCCATATGCACTTTAACACTTTACCATTATTACATATATTAATGTTGTATTCAGCAGTAGGTTATTATAAATTTAACCGATTGCGGCACCAAAGTTTTTTCTTAAAAATATTAGAGTCGGGTACAAAATCAACAAATACTACGGAAAAAGTTTTTTTTGTTTGATGGTGACTAATATTTGTGATTTTTCTAGTTGTG